AACACTTTGGGAGTCCGAGGCTGGTGGATCACCTGAGGTCAGGAGTTTGAGACCAGCCTGACCAACATGGTGAAACCCCGTCTCTACTAAAGTACAAAATTAGCTGGGTGTGGTGGCGCATACCTGCAATCCCAACTGCTCGGGAGGCTGAGGCAAGAGAATCCCTTGAACCTGGGAGGGGGAAGTTGCGGTGAGCCGAGATCGCGCCAGCCTGGAGCCAAGATTGCATTCCAGTCTGGGCAACAAGAGAGAAACTCCGTCTCAAAAAAAAAGAGAGAGAGAGAGAGAAATACACTGGGCAGATTAAGTGGGGCGTGGCATCCCCAGAAGGTCTCTTGTGCAGACCTTTCCAGGGGGTGGTGAAATTGTGTGGCCCAGGAGTGGCAGGTGGACTTCGACCTCTGCCCTCCTACTGGTGACCTTGTTGCATAATCTCTGTAGCCTCACCTTCCCCACTTTTGTTTTGTTTTGTTTGTTTTTGAGACAGGATCTAGCTCAGTAGCCCAGGCGGGAGTGCAGTGGTGAGATTATGGCTCACCCCAGCCTCAACCTCCTGGACTCAGATGATCCTCCCATCTCAGCCTCCAAAGGTGCACACCACAACCCCTGGCTACAGTTTTTGTATTTTTCTTAGAGATGAGATTTTGCCACATTGCTCAGACTGGTTTCAGTCTTCTGGGCTCAGGCGATACACTGGCTTCGGCCTTCAAAAGGGCTGGGATGGCAGGCATGAGCCACGGCACCCGGCCACCTGCCTAATCTTTAAACCGGATATGGTCAGGTGAGGTGGCTCAAGCCTGTCATCCCAGCACTTTGGGAGCCGAGGCAGGTGGATCACCTGAGGTCAGGGATTCGAGACCATCCTGGCCAACATGGTGAAACCCTGTCTCTACTAAAAATATAAAATTAGCTGGGTGTGGTGGCAGGTGCCTGTAATCCCAGCTACTTGGGAGGCCGAGGCAGGAGAATCACTTAAACCAAGGAGGTGGAGGTTGCAGTGAGCCAAGATCACATCGATGCACTCCAACCTGGGCAAAAGAGTGAAACTCTGTCTCAAAAGAAAAATAAATAAAAAGGGGATGAGATGATACCCCTCCCACATAGAATTGCTGAGAGAGCTAAAAGAGAATCCACGCGGCATGCACTGCAGGCAGAAAGGGGCCTGGCCGGAAGAAAATGTATACTGTGTCCCATTCATTCATTCCAGCATGCATTCACTCATTCACTCTTTCAGCATGTACTAAAGCCCAGGCACCATTCTAAGGGTCTAGGATCAGTGAACTAAACCAAGTCCCCCATTCTACAGGGGCTGAAAATCAGTAACGATAATCAGCTGGGCATGGTGGCTGAGGCAGGAGAATCGCTTGAACCAGGAAGGTGGTGGTTGCAGTGAGCCGAGATCACACCTCTGCACGCCAGCCTGGCCACAGAGTGAGACTCCATCTAAAAAAAAAAGGGGGGGAAGTAAAGAAAATCAGTAACAATAAGCAGAATACATAATGAAAGGGCCGAGTATGTTAGAAGGTTAGAGAGGTATGGAAAAATAAAAAGCCCAGCAAGGAGGGGCTGTTACCTGTTTGTTTTGTTTTGAGACAGGGTCTCACTGTCACCCAGGCTGGAGAGCAGTGGTGCAATCTCTGCTCACTGCAACCTCCACCTCCCGGGACCAAGCGATCCTCCCCCTCTCAGCCTCCCAAGTAGCTGGGACTACGAGTGCACACCATCACACCCAGCTAATTTTTAAACTTTTCATAGAGACAGGGTCTCACTTTATTGCCCAAGTTGGTCTTGAACTCCTGGGTTCAAGCAATCTTCCTTCCTTAGCCTCCTGAAGCGCTGGGATGGCAGGCATGAGCCACTGTGCTTGGATAACCTCATTCTTACTCACACCTCCCCTCCAAGGAAAAGGAAGAATATCCTAAATCTCTTTGGCAGAAGAGCCTCACCTCCTCATTAGAGTTGCTACCTGCCCCAGAGGGTGTATTCGAGCTGAATGAAAATGACCAGGTTTTGGCATACATTCACTCATTTGCTATTTCAACCAGATAGCTCCAAAATACCTGATAATGGAGCACCCACGATGAATCAGAATTCCTTGTCCTCCTGAAGGGTTTTGCAGACAGGGAAAACTGCGCGTGAACAATATAAGTTAGACAGTGAGGTCGGGCATGCTGGCTCACATCTGTAATCCCAGCACTCTAGGAGGCTGAGGCAGGTGGATCACTTGAGGTCAGGAGGTCGAGACCAGCCTGGCCAACATAATGAAACCCAGTCTCTACTAAAAATACGAAAAATACCCGGACATGGTGGCACACACCTGTAATCCCAGCTACTCAGGAGGCTGAGGCAGGAGAATCCCTTGAATCCAGAGACAGAGGTTGCAGGTTGCAGTGAGCTGAGATTGTGCCACTGCATTCCAGCCTGGGTGACAGAGAGACTCCGTCTCACACACACACACAAAAGTTAGATGGTGATCAGAGCTGCCAGGAATGGCAGGCAGGCACTGCTGGAGGGGTCAGGTCTGTGCGTGCCCCTCACTCTGCCGCCCATGCCCCCAGCCCCTCTCTGGACTTGGGTCTGCTGCACCTTGGCTTGCTTTGGCTGTTTTCTTCTAATAAGCGGACGGACCGTCTTTAACCTACGATCAGGGGAGGCAACATAGACACGGCTATTTCCAAGTGTGAAGAGATATTTTCTGAGTCGGTCCCTGTGCAAAAATATGGGAAAACTTGGACGGGAGAGGAAGGAGGCTCTTTCAGGGTGCTCCTGGAGACCAGGTTAGGGGAGTGGGTTTGGCCAGTAGGCAGATTTCCCTAGAATCCCCGACCCTGCAGGGAGGACCCCAAATGCCACATGCTGGAAAGTACCCACAGATGCAGCCAGGCACGGCTGCTCAAGCCTGTAATCCCAGAGCTTTGGGAAGCCAAGGCAGGTGGATTGCTTGAGCCCAGGAGTTGGAGAGCAGCCTGACCAACAAGGCAAAACCCCATCTCTACAAAAAATACAAAACTTAGCCAGGTGTGGTGGTGCGTGCCTGTAATCTCAGCTACTTGAGGGGCTGAGGCAGGAGAATTGCTTGAGCCCAGGAGGTTGGGCTCAAGCCCCAAGAGACCCATTCCCCAGTCCCCAGGAGCAGGGAGGGATGCCATAACCAACTGCCCAGCCATGTGCCCGGCCTGCGCCATGTCCCTCCTCCTTCGTTGCTCTTCTTGGGAGACTGACCTGACTCGCGGGAACAGTGAAGAGGAGGGAGGAGCAGGGTCTCTTGTTGCAGACATGGCTGCTCACCAAGGCTTTGGGGAGCAGACGTGACCCGTGCACCTCTGGGGCTGTGACTGCACTAATGCAAAGGAGGAGAGACCAGGTCTGAGGGAGGAGGCCTGGCCACATGGCTAAGAACCCAAGGCCCGTGTGTGTCCGACCGCAGAGGCAGATGCTCCGCCTTGGGGTTAGGAGATGGGAACAGACCGTTCTCCCCACAGTCACCGCTCACATGGACCACAGTGATCTCTCCTGCCACCGGCCCCCTCAGCTGCTGACTCACGCTCCCCAGGGTTGGCAGAGGCGCCGGTCCAACCGGCTGAGTCATCAGAGGATGAATTGCAGAATTCTTATTCAGGCTGTCATCGGCAACAGAGGGCCCTGCTCCCCCACCTAGCCATTCAAAGTATTTCCTCCCCCCTTGTCATTGTGTCTTTGTCTCCATCTCAGTCTTGGGGGCCTTGAACAGGATGCCAGCAGGGTGCACAGGGCGTCTCGGAGCACGCTCCCTAGGTCAAGATTCCAGACCTCTCCTAATAGTGCCAGGGGCCTGGTTTATTAGCACAGGGGAGCGCCTCAGATCTTATTTCACCCACTCACTCATCTTATAAATGAGGAAACAGAGATTCAGATGGGTTCAAGTGACTCGGCCAGGATTCAAGCTGCTTGAGAAGGCAGAGGACTGGGCGTTGGATGCTAGGAAGGGCAGCTTTGGAGTCAGACAATTCTCAGGGTGAATCGAAATCGACTTATTCTGAGCAAGCCTCGCCGAGCCTTGGATGGCTTTCTTGTCTGTAACAGAATGTGAAGGCTTCCGGGAGTCAGTGGATGGGTAGCAGGCGAAGGCGAGATCTCGGCCACTGCTATCGGATCTCCTGTATCTGATGGGGAGGCCCAGAGGCTGAGGTCATTCCTCTTCGTCCTTGGGAAAACTTGGACGAGAGAGGAAGGGGGCTTTCAGGGGACTCCTGGAGACCAGGTTAGGGGATTGGGTTTGGCCAGTAGGCAGATGCCCCTAGAGCTCCCAACCCGGCAGGGAGGAACCTGAATGCCATGTGCTGGAAAGTACCCACAGATGCAGCCAGGCGCAGCGGCTCATGCAACATGGCAAAACCCCTTCTCTACAAAAAATACAAAAATTAGCCAGGTGTGGCGGCAGGTGCCTGTAATCCCAGCTACTCGGGAGGGTGAGGCAGAATTGCTTGAACCCAGGAGGGGGAGGTTACAGTGAGCAGAGATCACACCATGCACTCCAGCCTGGGAGACAGAGCAAGACTGCATCTCAAATAAATAAATAAACAAATATATAAATAAATAAGGGAAGGCATCCACAGATTCTTTTTTGGTTCCCCCAAACCAAAAAATAGGCAAAGCACCATGTGGTGGGCACAGTCACCCTGATCCGGGCCCCTCACTCACTTCCTGCACTTCACACCCACGTGTGCCCAGCCACAGCCCTGCACGGGCCAGGAACCCGCTGGTTCCCACCAGGGCTGGCCTAGGAGGTGCACGTCTCTCTGCCCAGAGGGCCCCGTGTGTCCTGCAGAAGGAGTGGCCCGGGGCAAGGGTGAGCTCACAGGTGGTAACCGAGTCAGTCCCTTCTGCAACGTCCTCAAGGAATCCGTGTGGCCATCCTGGGAGCCACCTACCACTGGGTGGTGTTGATGACCTGATTTCCTTCACTATCTGGGCCTGGGTAGTAAAGCTTCCCCATATCCATAAATCCATCTGAGAAAAGATTCCAATTTTTCACAAAGAATTTTATTAAGAAACAGAGGAAAGATACAAAATTCCCATCTGAGAAAGGTTCCAATTTTCAAAAGAACTTTATTAAGAACAGAGGAAAGCTACGAAATCCATAACCAAAGGAACGGAAGAGTCTACAGCACACTGGCTTTACCCCACGGCAATGCAGAGAAACGCGCTGGGCCGTGTCGCTCAGTGACCAGGCGCCAACGCCAGACTGCTCGTCTGCAACCCAGTCTCTCGTGGTCGCTAAGCCAACCGGTTCCAACTTTCTCTGGAGACAAGTCAGGCTGCCCTCCCAAGCCTCCTTCCTCACCTCTGTGTGCACAGCCCCTCTTCTATCCAGTACCTAGGATTTCTCACCTGGCAGCCCCTCTTCTATCCGGTCCCTAGGATTTCTCACCCGGCAGCCCGGGCGAGGTCTTGTCTGATGTCGCTGTACTCTGTGCATGTCTCCAATCGCAGGAGTCAGCAGTCCCTAGAAAATCTATTTTTGCTCCTGTCCTGATCCATTTAATAAACCACATTCACAAGCCAGCTGGCTCATTTTGCTACCTTCAGTCAAGTTACCTACTTTCCCAAATCTGCATCTGAACATGGTCTTTCTCCTGCTAACGACGTATCTCTGGGTACTCTCTCTGGCAGTTCTCTGCCCCAGCTCATCCAAGACTTTCTCCCCAGTACGGAAGTCTGCACCCTATCTAATTTCCCACTTCATTTATGGGATAGACCTAGTTCTCTGCTTATGTTTCAAGGAGAGACAATCAGATACCTCGATCCTGGCACTCACCTGTCCAACCCTGACCAGCTCAGGTCACCAACCTCATCAGTTTCCATGCAAAACTCGTCACTTCTGCCTTGGACTTTCGCCCCTTAGAATCTTATCTCTGCAGATTTAGAATATGGCATTGCTTTATGGATGCCATGGTAAGCAGGCTGTAACAGAAGGGGAACTATTCCCTCTCCAGACGAGAGTTTCTCTAAATTCTCAAAAGATTGGGCCACTCTTGCCATTTTTAACTTTTTCTAAATGTCTACGGTTACGGGCTCTTAACTAAGACGGTCTGATTCTTGGCTGGCTTTTAGGAATGGCACTGCATTTCAGCAGGCTGGTCCTTGGTCCCTTCTATTCCCGAAGCCACTGCTGTGACTTCAGATACGGCTTCTTCAAGTAACTGCCGAAAGCAAAACAAAACGGTCTCCTCTAAAGGAGAAGCCAATGTGCAGGCAGCAGCTCCACTCGGGGTTCCCGAGCTCTCACTGCACAATACACGTACCTAACATCCTCATACAAACTCATGCTGATGGAGAGTTTCGGGTGGCTACGAGTCAGCTGAACTGTGTCCTAACCTATACCTTGGATTAGAGCTTTACAGTGTCCGAAATACTCCTCTGCGTTTCTCATCCAGTCCCCACAGCAGCTCTGTGAAGTGGGCATAGGGGATGTCATTATCCCGACGTTACCGATGTATACGAACTGAAGCTCAGAGAGGTTAAGGAACTGGACCAAGATCACACAGCTGTTAAGTGCAGAGCCAGCACACAACCCAGGTCTCTGCTCCCTCATTCTCTTCCCATTTCTTGGCACCAAGAATATGAAAGAGGCTTTCTACCTCCCTCCTCCCTACCCAGACAGGATTCTCTTTTCACTGGTCCGTCCATGCACAACCCAGCCAGTTCCGAACGGGAAAAGGAACACTCTGTTAATTGTCACAATCCCAGGTGCAATGCAGTTGGCCGGGTGATCTCAGCTCTCTGCAACCTCCGCCTCCCAGGTTCAAGTGATTCTCCTGCCTCAGCCTCCTGAGTAACTGGGACTACAAGCATGCGCCACTATGCCCAGCTAATTTTTGTATCTTTAGTAGAGATGGGGTTTCACCATGTTGGCCAGGCTGGTCTTGAACTCCCGACCTCAGATGATCCGCCCACCTCAGTCTCCCAAAGTGCTGGGATTACAGGCATGTTCCTGGTTTCTTTGCATCTCTGATACAACTGGGAACTCTTTGCCTCGGTCCTGAGCAGGACTTTCTCTGGGGTCCCCCAGCCACTCAGTAACAGTGTTGGAGATTTTAGCTCCAAATTATGCTCGATGCAACACTTCCCATCCATCTTTCTCATTTTTCCGGTGTTCTCCACTGCCCCCCACCCCACCTCTTTACAAAGAAAACTTAATATCTCCCTTCATCTTACAATGCCCTGTGGATTCTTACAGCTTCCCAGGAAGCCACTTGGCGCCCCCATCTCTAGGGCACTTGGGACTATCTTCTTGCAGCCAGGTGACGTTTCATTTTTGAAGGTCTCTATTCCTGTTTTGCCCCCTGGGTGGGCCACGAGGCTAGAATCATTTCACCAGGCAGGGCCACTGCCCACCCATGGCTCCCACGCAACTCTGGAGAGCTGCTGTTCCCACCCCGAGGTGTGCGATCCCCAACAGCTCACAGTTCCCTGCTACCCCCTCCACATGCATGGAAGCAAAGCGGACACCTCGATCTCATCTCTCCTTTTTTTTTTGGAAACCAGGTTTCGCTCTGTCACTCAGGCTGGAGTGCTGTGGCTCAATCAGAGCTCACCGTAGCCTTGAACTCCTGGGCTCGAGCAATCCTTCTGCCCCAGCCTCCCAAGCAGCTGGGACTACGGGTGCATGCCACTACATCTGGCTGATTTTTTAAATTTTTTGTAGAGATGGGGCCTTGCTAAGCTCAGCCTGGTCTTGAACTCCTGGCCTCAAGCCATCCTCCCACCTTGGCCATGCAAAGTGCTGAGATTACAGGAATGACCACTGCACTGGCCCAGTCTCACCTTTTTTTTTTCTTTTTTACCAGAGCCCAGCTTTGGAAGGCAGATGCTGAACTGTGTCCACAGTGCCCCCTACTGGAGATTTCCCACGAGCTGAGGTTTGGACAGCTTGGCTGACTAGGGCAATGGCATTTCAGGTGGGAAAGCTTTGGAAAGAGTCATACCATCATCTCATCCCTTTCCGGATATTAATTAACTTCACAGACATTCATGGAGCACCTACTATGAGCTCTCACAGTGCTGGCTCTGCAGACAGAGCTGCAGTAAAGACAGACATCGTCCCCCCGCCACCCTCCACCCCCCCCCCACCCTCCGCCACCCTCCACCACCCTCCGCCACGTAGCTGATCCCTATTCTAGTTGGTCCTGTAGAAACTCCACGGTTTATAGTTGGTCTGAGTTATTTGGCGAACTCAACAAAACTTCCCCTGCCTTCCAGATACTCCACGAGAATTCAATCACCTGTCGGGGGTTGAGGGGGGAACCTGACCTTTGCAAAATTTCCCAGAGTGGTTCCTTGGTCTGCCACCCTACCCAATGGCCCTGCCTCCTGGCTGAGCCCCGGCCAGCTGGGATCCCCTCCCTGGCTCTTGCCTCTTCTCTCATAGGACAATCTCCTTTGCTCCAACAGCTTCATTCTCACACCCAGTATTACTGAATATCACTTATACAGGTGTATTTCCTTGAAGCAAATATCCAGGCATACATGCTATGTAACGGATAATCAAAACTGAAGTAGAAATGTGCGTGCATGAAGAATAGCACAAAGTAACTATAAAAAAACAGAAACCGAACCCCAATCTCCCAAATCAATGACTATTTACAAATTCCGAACCTATTTTACTCAGCAGTTATTCAGACAGATGCTTCCCTTGTTATGACCACTATCTGATGGGACTTCCAGACTCTCCACTTTTGGGGATTATGACTGCACCACAGAACTATTTCTTCTCAATAGTCTTCAGAGTTGTCATGCACGAGGCTCATTCCCCTACGAGCCGAAATCTACTTAGCCAGTGCTGTATAGAGTAGCCGCAAGTGTCTGTATGCAAATACTTTTTCTCTTACATTATTTTCCTGGAATGTATTCCCCAAAGTGAGACAACCTATTCTTATAATCATTCTTGCCATTCTTGGAAAGTCTTGCCAAATTATTCTCCAGGAAATATCATTTTTATAGTGCCAGGAGTCTATTTCACCACAAGGGTAATTTTAGCCAATGCATGTGGATTTATCCTTTTTTTTTTTTTTGAGACAGAATCTCACTGCAACACCCAGGCAAGAGGGTAATGGCGCGAACTCAGCTCACGGCAACCTTCACCTCCCGGGTTCAAGCAATTATCCTGCCTCAGCCTCCCCAGTAGCTGGGATTACAGACATGCAACACCACGCTCAGCTAATTTTTGTATTTTTAGTAGAGATGGGGTTTCACCATATTGGCCAGGCTGGTCTCGAACTCCTGACCTCAGGTGATCCACCCGCCTCGACCTCCCAAAGTGCTGGGATTACAGGCGTGAGCCACTGTGTCCAGCTTTTTAAAAATGTATTATCATTTTTCATTTTACTAGTCCTTGCCTGCATGCATTTCCTCCCAGGTGCAGAGCTTAAATGGGTTTTTGAACAAATGCTGTCCTAGTCACTAGTTCGTGTATTAGAGACCAAACTTTTCCTCATCAAATCAGTTCTCCATGATTTTCCCATCTTCTTGGTTTTTTTTTAGATGGAGTTTCACTCTTGTTGCCCAGGCTGGAGTGCAGCGGCACGATCTTGGCTCACTGCAACCTCCTGGGTTCAAATGGTTCTCCTACCTCAACCTCACGAGTAACTGGGATTACAAGCGCACACCACCATACCCTGCTAGTTTTTGTATTTTTAGTAGAGACGGACTTTCACCGTGTTGGCCAGGCTGGTCTCAAACGCCTGACCTCAGGTGACCCACCCACCTCGGCCTCCCAGAGTGCTGGGATTACAGGCGTGAGCCACCGCACCGGCCCTCGGTTTTCTTATCATTGTCATTATTCTTTGCTGTGCCTACCTTTGTAATGTTTAGAAAATTGAAATGTGTCCACCCAGACTTCGATGATGTCCCCCATTGTTTCAATAAATAAGAAATGGTTTCCCAGAAAGGGATTTTCTTTTCCCTCTACCGATGCCCTGTGCGTTCCATCTGGACTTCTCTAAAATCCCACTGGTTCCCACGAATGCCCCACTATCAACAGTCCCCACGTTAAGACTCCCTTCTGCCATCTCTCAACAGCCCCCTGGCTAAAAACATTCTTCAAGCCTACTTGCCCCTCAATCCCACCACTGCCACCATTTAGGAAAAGGTCTGGCGGTCACAGCCCACCTCCGGCAGGTTTCTGCTTTGACGCCTCCCCATCGCAGCCCCACTGCAACTTCTCAGGTTCCACTGGCACCCCCAAGATCCACTTGGCCTGCAGGGTTCAGCTGCTTCCCCAGCAACAGTGGCCCACAGAGGACACCTTCCTTCACCCCCTAGTTCAGCCAAGTGGAGGCCAACACATCTCAAAAGGAATTTTTCTGGAAAACTAAGAGAAGGCAACACGTAGACCCCAGATAATGTGAAGATATCAAAACAGAAGCGTTGAAGGTCAGAGGTTTTTCTATCCTACGTGCGTCTTCCCTCAGACTTGGCTTTGTGGCTGCACGGAGGGCTCCCTGTGCTGATACTCACATCCTGTTTGGTTTTATACTTGATCTTAGCTGAGAAGTGATGGATAACCTGCTTGTTTTGGGTTGCTTTTTGTCTTCTGGGTTTTTTGGTTTTCTTTTTTTGAGATACGGTCTGGAATGCAGAGGTGTGATCATAGCTCACTGCAGCCTTGAACTCCTGGGCTCAAGGGATCCTCCCACCCCAGGCTCCTGAGTAGCTGGGTTGACAGGCATGCACCATCACATGCAGCTAATTTTTTTAATTTTCTGTAGAGGTGGGGTCTCACTATGTTGCCCAGGCTGGTCTCAAACTCCTGGCCTCAAGCAGTCCTCCTGCCACAGCCTCCCAAAGTGCTGGGATTACAGGTGTGAGCCATTGTGCCTGGCCAAGCCTGTGCTTTTTAATACTTAGTCTTAGCCAAAAGGCTAAGAAGCGATGGAGAACGTGGATTTTTGGACAGGAATTCTGCTGGGTTTGGTTTTTCAGTAGCCTATTCTCTTCACAGCCTTTGACCCTAACCCCTTTGGCCCCAGCTGCTGTCTGCACTTACCCATCCTCCTGCAAGCCCAGCCGGTACTGCCGCGGGGGGATGCCACGACCACAGGAGCTTCCTGCCTGTGGCTGGCAGAAGAGGCCACCTACTGCCCATTCGACAGCTCAGGCCTCCTCTGACTCTGTAGGACCCTGTGCCAGTCCGAGGGGGTCAGAGCTCTGACCCACCCTGGGCCCTTCTTGACCCCCAAGACTCTCCCTCAGCTACTCTATCAGGAATGCTTTCGAAGAATGCAAATCAGGACAGGCTCACAAACCTCAAAAACCTAAACTATATAGCAGTGGCGGCAGCCACCCAGAAAAGACAAGAGGCAGGTGAACGCCCAGCATCTCCTCAACCCAGCCACCTGCCTCCCCTGCTTCTGAGAGTTAAGGTCACGCCACCATGCTTGGTCCCTATTCTCACACACTGGAAGACGGGTTAGCAGTTTGGCACGTCATGTTGAAAAGTTGCCAACCCCTGCCCTTCAGGAAAATGTCCTCTCCCACAGACAGCTCTGCCTCCCCCCTGCCCTCTCCCTCCCCCCTCCTCCCCACCCTAGTCCTGGACCCTTTAACTGTCTGAAGAACGGACCCGAAAGACATGGATGGTCCCATTACTGAGGGATACAACCAGGTACCTGCCATCCACCATGGTGGTGACCCGGGGCTTTTCCAGGCCATGGTAGGCTGTCAGGAAGTCTCCGAGGAGCGACCCCTTCGGGTCCAGGATCACCACCTTGTTGACTTCTCGAATGGTCAGGAAGATGTAGCCCTTCTTATCCACAGACACGGAGCCCGGCTGGCAGCCGTGCAGGCCCGGCCCCTTGTACTCCCCAACCACCTGGCCCAGCCCGTCACAGATTACCACACTATTCTGCTGCCAATCTGACCCCACGAAATGCCCCTGGGGGCTGGTGGTCAGAAACACCAGCGCCCGCAGGCCCCGGCTGGCCTTGCCCCCAGGGATGAACCGGGTGGCCAGGCTGCCTTCCATATTGTACACCTCCACATGGCCCGCCACACTGACGGCCACACGGTCCCCACTCGGCAGTGCGGCCACAGCGTGGCTGGCCTGGGAGAGGCTCAGGGCACGGCGCCACTGCACCTCACCATCGGGGCTGATGAGATAGAGCCGTGCACCTGCAGAGAAGGCCACGGCGCTCTGCAGGGCCGCCACGCTGCAAGGAGAGCAGCCCTCAGGGACGGGCACGGTGCCCTTGTAGTCGCCATTGAGGGAGAAGCGTTTCAGCACCCGGTTCTGCTCATCTGCCACCAGGATCTCCCGGGGGCCGAAGGGACAGAGCCCAGTGATCCGGGGGGACCTCTTGTCTCCAGGCATCCGTGTGGGGAAACTGCAGGAAAAGATGGGCCTTGGGAGGAGGCCAGAGCCGTCCAGGTTCGGCCCCAGGGCTGGGCTGGGCTCCCGGGAAATTGACTTGAGCCTGCCTTTGAACTTTCTCTTCTTGTTGGATCTGCCACCCCTCTGGGACTGGGGTCCTCCATCCTCGCGGGGCATCTGAGCTCTGTCCTCTTCCAAGGTCTGGGCTCCATCTTCTCGGGGCATCTGTGCTTTGTCTTCTCGGGGTGTCTGGGCTTCATCTCTGGCCTGGAGCTGGGTCCCACCCTGTCTCTCTGTCTTCATCGCATCCTCCCTCCGGCTCTGGCTCTCCTCACTTCCCTGGGTGCCGGCTCCATTCTTCCCACCGTCCTTCTGAGGCTGCTGCTCCTCGAAGGACAGCCGAAGCAGGTGGCAGTTCTTGTCCAGGAGCCCAGGATGGAGCTCCAGCTGCGGAATCAGGCAGGGGGCCGGCCCCCGTGCCGAGGGGCAGCCCTGCAGCTGCCGGAGCCGCTGCGCAATCGCCCCCTCCAGGGAGAGGATCTCGGCCTCTCGCCCCAGGCTGAGTACCCGGCGGGCAAAGGCGGCCGCTGCCCTGGCCACCTGCTCCCGGCTCTCGAGCTCCGCCAGCCTCTCCCGAGCAGCCTCTTCGGCAGCCTCCACATGGGCTCTCAGCCGCCCCAGCACCTCCTGCTTCTGGGCCAGCAGGGCCCTGAGGACACCCTCGGCCGCCTCCTCCACCTGTGTCCCCACCCGGGCTGCCTGCTCCCGCAGCCGGGTCAGCGCTTCCTTCTCCACCCTCCGCTCTGCTTCCAGCTCTAGCAGGTTACTGTCCACACCAGCCAGCAGCTCCTCCAGGCCCGGCCTCCGGGCACGCACAGCCTCAGCCAGGGGCAGGCAGGGGTGGTCCAGGTGGGGGTCCAGGCGGCACTCCCTGCACAGCAGCTGCGAGCAGGGCTGGCACAGGAAGCGCAGTGCCTCCCCGGGGTGCTGGGGACACTGGGCCGCCTGGCGCTCCCGGGCCTCCTCGTCATACCACCCCGCCCTGTAGCCCACCAGGTCCACCACCCGGTGGGAGTGGGTCTGGCGGGTGCAGCGGTGCCCATCAGCACAGGCCTGGCACAAGTCGTCGGCACAGTCCAGGCACCGGGCCGTGGCCGGCCCTCCCGCGCTGGTGCCCCCTACCAGGGGACACAGGGCACAGGCTGGCTTCCCAGCACGCAGGTCTCCACAGGCCCGGGCTTTCACCAGGTCCAGCAGTCCATTAACGAAGAAGTTGGTCTTGAAGGCGGCCACGCCCTCGGGCGGCACAGGCACGGTCTCACGGCATTCGGGGCAGCGGACGTGGCCACCATCGGCCAGCTGGGCCAGGCAGTCCTGGCAGTAGGTATGCAGGCAGGGCAGGGTCTTGGGTGCCCGCAGCTGCTCCAGGCAGATTTTACAGGCCAGGAAGTCGCTGCTCAGGGCCTCTAGGAGGGAGGGCGAGGACCCATGGGAAACCATGCTGCAGGCAGAGGCGTCAGGATCACAGGTGAGAACACACTTTCTCCAGCTCACCCTCCAGCCTCTACCCTGGCCCTCAAGCCCCACGGGATCCCCAGAGCTAGGGGCTGACCTGAATGGCTGGGAAGAAACCTGAGGTCTCACCTGAATGGCCAGGAACTTCCTTCTAGTCCTCTGAGGCCTTGGACCACTAGCTTTGAGCTAAGGAGCTGCCCTCCTCCTCCTCCTCTTCCGCGTGTACATCCAGCAAATGTGAAGTGCTGCTACTTGGGTTAGACCTGTGAGAAATGACAAGACCAGGCGTCCCTAGCCTTAGCTAGTAATTGAATCCTCAGTGTCCCTAGTCCACGGGCTTGGTGACAAATGTGGGGCAAGCCCTCCTGTGTGCACAGATACTGGGGCCCTGCTGTATGGGGCACTGGGGTGCAAGGGAAGAACAGTAAGGACACAGACGGGGACCCCAGTGGGCAGAGATGCCTAGGTTCTGGCAATCGGGGTAGGATCTTGCACCTGCCCTTCTTTATGTTTTATTTTACTTTTCACCAATAGGGTCACCCTCTGTCACCCAGGCTGGAGTGCAGTGACGTGATCACAGCTCACTGCAGCCTCAAACTCCTGGACTCAAGTCTCTCAAATAGCTGGGAGTACAGGCATGTGCCACCATGCCCAGCCCCTTTTTTTTTTTTTTTTAAAGACAGTCTCACTCTGTTGTCCAGGCTGGAGTGCAGTGATTACAGGCACGAGCCATCACACCCGCTAATTTTTGTATGTTTAGTAGAAACGGAGTATTGCCATGTTGGCCAAGCTGGTCTTGAACTCCTGACCTCAGGTGATCCACCTGCCTCAGTCCCCCAAAGTTCTAGGATTACAGGCATGAGCCACCACACCTGGCCGCCTAGCCCATTTAAAAAAATATTTTACTTTTTGTAGAGACGGGATCTCGCTATGTTGCCCAGGCTGGTCTCCAACTCCTGGCCTCAAGCAATCCTCCCCTCTTGGCCTCCCAAAGCATTAGAACTACAGGCATGAGCCACCGCGCCCGCCTGGCAGTACACCTGTCTTCTTCCAGACCCGGGGCAGCATTGCGGGTGGTGGAGGCCCCGCTTCCTGCATCCAGCAGTTTCTAAAGTGGATTCTGGAGTGGGCAGAAGGAAGGTCTAGGGGAAGGGCTGGTCCCCTTCCCGCTGCGGGCTCACCCTCGGATCGACTTGGCCTTGGCTATTCTCCTGCAGTCCCGTTCTCTTCGCTTTGCCTGCTGAATGCATTCCAGAAACCTCTGGAGGGAGGGACTCCTGAGCTCCTAGCACAGTGGCTGAGACCTACTTGTTGGGCAAACTTGGTGGAATGTCCCCTTTTGTGGGGCTGGGAGGAGACCTCAGAAAGTGGGACGGGGTCTTTCTTGCGGGGAGCCTCAGACCTGGCGGGAGTGGGGCGGGTGCGGCTTCCCGCCTGGCCTCTCCTCCTGCCTTCCGGGTGCCTCTTTCCCCAGCTCCCCTCTCTTCCTCCTCCTCCTCCCGAGCTCTCTCTCCACTCCCCTCCCCCTACTGCCTTCAGCTCAGCCCTTCCTATAGCTGTGCCGCCCCCACCCCTTACCTAGCCAGAGATGATCTTGGCCTTTAGGATGACGCGGGGCTTGGGGCCTGAAGGCCGCTGTTGCTGGTGCCTGAAAAAGAAACAAAACTGAAACTAATCGGACTTGTGCAACTTCCGTCCCAGCCGGGGACACACCGACTGGCCTTGAACAGCCTCAGGCCCCGCCTTCTTCCACACCCGGCCCTGTCCTCCCTCTCTGAGGCCCCCACCCCAGCAGCATCGGGCAGGCTTGGGCTGGAGTCCACCAGCCTGGTCTGCCTGTTAGTCCAGCCTCAGGGCTGTGTGTGTCACAAACAGGGAACTACCTGAGGGTGGGTTCTCTGAGTACAGGGTGGAGGGTCACAGGGGTTATTAGTGCGAAGAAATGAGGGCTCATCTGTGATTCAGAGACCAGGGTAACTAGACGCGTGGCCACAGGCAGGCAGGTGAGGCTCTTCATTTCACAAACATTTGCTGAACTGCAGGAAAGGCTTCGGGGGACTGGGTAAGAAGCCTCAAGCTGAGGGAACAGCACAGGCTTCCTGGAGGAGGCGTCAGTGAGATGAGTTTAAGGAAGGCGTGGGGATCTCTTGACCCCTGGAGTGCAATCCTAGGCAATATGGTGAGACCTAATCTCCACCAAAAATTCAAAAACTTGGCTGGGCACAGTGGCTCACGCCTGTAATCCCAGCACTTTGGGAGGCCAAGACGGGTAGATCACGAGGTCAGGAGTTCGAGACCAGCCTGGCCAACATGGTGAAAACCCATCTCTACTAAAAATACAAAACTTAGCCGGGCGTGGTGGCACATGCCTTTAGTCCTAGCTGCTTAGGAGGCTGAGACAGGAGAATTGCTTGAACCAGGACCTAGGAGGCGGAGGTTGCAGTGAGCTGAGATCGTGCCACTGCACTCCAGCCTGGGCCACAGAGCTAAACTCCATCTCAAAAAAAGAAGAAAAAAAATAAAAAACTAGCCGTTCACGATAGCAGGAGGCTGAGGCAGGAGGATCACTTGAGCCCAGGAGGTTGAGGCTGCAGTGAGCCACGATGGTACTACTGCACTCCAGCCTGGACGACAGAGCAAGACCCTGTCTAAAAAATAAGAGGCCATAGAGGGCTGAGAACACTGAGAAGAATGTTTCAGTTCCACGTATTGTGAACAGCGAGGCTGCATCCCCACTTAGGATGATGCGCGTGGAGCAGATACCTCAGTGTTGGCAGAGAAACCGAGTTTTATCAAAAAAAAGACAAAAGAAACATTGCAGGAGATTTCCCTCAACATTTTATGAAAAAACAATTTTTATTTTGAGACAGAGCCTTGCTCTGTCACCCAGGTTGGAGTGCAGTGGTGCAATCTCAGCTGACTGCAATCTTTGCCTCCCAGGTTCAAGCGATTCTCCTGCCTCAGCCTCCCAGGTAGCTGGGATTACAGGCGCCTGCCACCGTGCCTGGCTAATTTTTAGTAGAGATGGGGTTTCACTATCTTGGCCAGACTGGATTTGAACTCCTGACCTCGTCAAAGTGCTGGGATTACAGGCATGAGCCACTGTGCCCGGCAGAGGTTTTTAATCCTAAATTATAAAAGTAATGTGGCCACTTTAAAACACTCACATCTTCATTGTAACACAATTCACTATTTCTTTCCTCTTTATATGTCCTTTGGTCTCTTGTCTGTATTTTACATATTTACAGGGTACATATACTTTTTGTCTATAAAACTTAGCATTATATTAACTGTTAAACAAAATTATGAGGCCAGGTATGGTGGCTCATGCTTGTAATTCCCAGCACTTTGGAAGGCCAAGGTGGGCAGATCACCTGATGTCAGGAGTTCGAACCACCCTGGCCAACATGGCAAAACCTCATCTCTACTAAAAATATAAAAATTAGCTGAGCATGGTAGCACACTCCTATAATCCCAGCTTCTCAGGAGGCTGAGCCAGAAGAATCGCTTGGACCCAGGAGGCAGAGGTTGCAGTGAGCCAAGATCGAGCCACTGCACTCCAGCCTGGGCCACAGAGCGAGACTCTGTCTCACAAAAATAATAATAATAAATAAAAACAAACAAACAAAATATGGGAGTCTATTGTGTGGGCTGAGCTACTGCATTAGACTCCTGCCAACCAGACCAAACCAAAATGGAGTCACTCATGCTAAATGCTGCATCATCAAACCGAGAGTCTGAGGAAGCAGACAGATTCCCAAACAGACCAGTTGTTCTTGAAAACAGGAGATTCCAGTCTACCTGAGTGAACCTAATAAGGAAGTCCCTGCTGCTTTTACTCTCCAAAAAGCAACACGAAGTAACCTAAGGTTAACCACTTAGCTTGCTCTTCTATTCTTCTGTTTCCTTGTTCCTTCCTTACAAAACTCACTGTTCTCCGTTGCAGTGCAAGCTCCCGTCTATTTCGTAGAATGGCAGGCAGCTCCATTCATGAATCCCAAAAGCCCATTAGATCTCTAACTAGAGTTGTTGTGATATTGTCATTTGACAAAAGATTTTTTCTTTTCATTTTATTTATTTATTTTTGACAAGGTCTTGCTCTGTTGCCCAAGCTGGATTGCAGTGTCGTGATCTCAGTTCACTGCAGCCTCCTCCTCCCAGGCTCAGATAATTCTCCTGCCTCAGCCTCCCAGGTAGCTGGGATTACAGGCACACGCCACCACACCCAGCTAATTTTTGTATTTTTAGTAGAGACGGGGTTTCACCATGTTGGCCAAGATGGTCTCAATCTCTTAACCTCAGGTTATCCACTCGCCTTGTCCTCCCAAAGTGCTGATACAGGCATGAGCCACCCCGCCCGGCCTAATTTTTGTATTTTTTGTAGAGCCATTAAACATTTTTTTCCACCATGTTGGCCAGGCTGGTCTCAAACTACTGAGCTTGGATGATCTGCCCTCCTCATCCTCCCAAAGTGCTGGGATTACAGGCATGAGCCACCACACCCAGCAGACAAAAGCTTTTCTGTTTTTACGTATTCATTTTAGTTTTTAGTGTTAATGGCTGCATAAATTATCTGCCATAATTTACTTAACTATTTAGTAATATGCTAGTAAAGTGTCCCCTCCCCTTCAACACCCCCATTTATATGTAGCTTTTGCCAGTTTGCATGATGTAAATGTGGTGTAGACGCTCCCACCATGGCTGATGTCATCATGCACACCACCACCGATTTAACAACCAGCCCACAAAATTCTTTTTTTTTTAATTAATTTATTATTATTTCTTATTGAGACAGGGTCTCACAGTATTAGGCAGCCTGGTCTCGAACTCCTGGCCTCAGGCCGTCCTCCTGCCTCAGCCTCCCAAAGTGCTAAACAATGAGCTCTCAGGCTCCGGTACCCTTTGGAGGCTTTCAGAATGTTCTTTGATGGTTGATTTCAAGGTATTATTATTATTATTATTATTATTATTAGAAACAAGTTTTGCTCTGTCACCCAGGCTAGAGTGCAATGGCGTGACCTCAGCTCACTGCAACCTCTGCCTCCCAGTGTCAAGTGATTCTCCTGCCTCAGCCTCCGGAGTAGCTGGGATTTACAGGCATGAGCCACCACGCCTGGCCAATTTTTTTGTATTTTTAGTAGAGATGGGGTTTCACCATGTCAGCCAGGCTGGTCTCGAACTCCTGATCTCAGGTGATCCACCCGCCTCGGCCTCCCAAAGTGCTGGGATTGCAGGCGTGAGCCACCACGCCTGCCTGATTTCAAGTGATTAATATGAAGTCACTGAATATCAGATTGGAGAGAAACACACACGCTTGGTTCTCAGAAGCCGTACAAGTCCCCACAGTTCTTTCTGCTGTGAGTTGCTAATTGAACGTGTGGTCATGAGAGAAAATGTGCCGTCTGATTTCAGTCCTTTTAAGCTTCTTGAGGTTTGCTTTATGGGTCAGCATACGGTCTGTCCTGGACAATGTTCTTTGTGTGTGTGAACACAATGCGTATTCTGTGGTTAAATGGAGTGTCGTATGTCTGTCAGGTCAAATTGGCGGTGTCATTCAAGGGTTCTCTATTCTAATTGATTTTTCTGTGTAATCGCTGACAGAGTATCAACATTTTCAATCGTGATAGCTGAACTTCCTTTTCTTCTTTCGGTTCTGTCTGTTTTTGCTTTATGAATTTTGCAGTTCATTGTTAGGTGTCTATACATTTGTCATTTTTAAACATGTATTTATCGGTTGGGCGTGCTGGCTCACACCTGCAATCCCAGCACGTTGGAAGGCTGACGCAGGAAGATCGCTTGAGCCCAAGAGTTTGAGACCAGGCTGGACAAGATAACAAGACCTCAACTCTATATTAAAAGATTTTTATTGATACATAAGAGATGTTCATACTTTTGGGGTACATGTGATAATTTAACACATTTATGTGATTTGTCATTTATAAATTTTATACATTTTTTCATTATAAAATGTCCCTCTTTGTCTCTAAGAATGTTTCCTTTCTAATACAGTAGCATATGAGGTTGTTTTTTTTGAGACAGAGTTTTGCTCTTGTTACCCAGGCTGGAGTGCAATGGCGCGATCTCGGCTCACCGCAACCTCTGCCTCCTGGGTTCAGGCAATTCTCCTGCCTCAGCCTCCTGAGTAGCTGGGATTACAGGCATGCGCCACCATGCCCAGCTAATTTTTTGTATTTTTAGTAGGGACGGGGTTTCACCATGTTGACCAGGTTGGTCTCAATCTCTTGACCTCGTGATTCACCCGCCTCGGCCTCCCAAAGTGCTGGGATTACAGGCTTGAGCCACCGCGCCCGGCGCATATGAAGTTGTGAATTCAGACACTGCCACTTTCTTATAATGGCTGTTTACATGGTATATATGGAATATACTTCTCCATGCTTTCATTATCAGCTTGTTTGTGTCTTTGAGTCTCGCACGGGTTTCTTAGAATACAGCTGGATCTTACTTTTTTATCTAGTCTGACGTCTCTGCATTTAGAGTGTTTACTTCATTCTGATTTAATGTAATTATTGACATAAT